CAGAGCCCTCCCACCGGTGAGAGCGGCATCCCCTGTGAGTATGCATTTAAAATATTCATATATATTTGTTAAACGACAGCTGAAACAAAAGGAGATTTGGAGAAATGTGCTGTGCCCTTTGGATTTCAGTGCCAGGGCTCTTGCTCGCTGCAGAGGTGCTTTGCTGGGTGCCAAATAGCTGCCAGGACAGGGACCATGCTGGGCTGGAGGTGGCCGGGGAGCAGCACCAGCGTCATGGTGGAGCCCATGGGTGCCATTGCTGCTTGGGGCCAAGCAAGCTGGGACGCTCCTGGCAGTGCAGTGGGGGTAACCCTGCGCTCTGCAGCCATCCCGGGGGGCCGGGGAGCCCCGTGCAGGAGTCCCGGGCCGGGGAGCACCGCCTGGTCACTCCTTTTTTTAGAGGCAGTTTCATTCCCGAGGAGTCAAATGCAGGCGGAGGGATAAAAATAGCCACCCGGAGCCGTGGGAAATGTGTGTGTCCCGGTGCTGGCTGCTCGCCGTGTGCCAGCTGTGCCCACGGGATTGCACTGATGCCAAGGAGGATGGGGAGGGGGAAAAAACGGGTAAGTGACCAATAATTGGGAGCTGGCACTGAGCTAAGGTGCAAAGGCTTCACCTTGCCAAGTGTTTTTTTTTTAAATAAATAAAGAGAGGCAAACTGTTGTGGGTTATCCAGCCTCAGGGCTGGTCTCTGCCCCGGGGGGTCCAGTTGGCCCCGAGCTGGCAGTGGCAGCACATGTCCCTTCCCCGCAGCCTCACGGGTGGCGTGCGATCCCTGGAAGGAGAGCGGCGATGTCTCGGACAGCGGCAGCAGCACCACCAGCGGGCACTGGAGCGGGGGCAGCGACATCTCCACCCCTTCGCCCCCTCACCCTGCAGGCAGCCCCAAGTACTCCAGCGAGGCCCTGAGCTCCCCCCAGGTGGATGATGGCTTCGACACTGACTCTGACCCCTTTCTCCTCGATGAACCCGCTCCACGCAAGAGAAAGGTATTGCTGCCGTGCAGCGGGGGGTCCCAGCACCGGTGGGGTGGTTGGAGCTGAGACGGCATCCCGTGGAGGGGACGCTGCCACCGGGCAAGGGGTAACATGAGCCATATCTCTGCCAGAACTCTGTGAAAGTGATGTACAAGTGCCTGTGGCCAAGCTGCGGCAAAGTCCTGCGCTCCATCGTCGGCATCAAGCGGCACGTCAAGACCCAGCACCTCGGGTAAGGTGAAGATTTTACCTCCTCAGTCCCTGCCCTAACCACCAAATCCACATGCCCCCGCTACTGCTGCTGTGTAATTCCTGCAGCAAATATCCACAGTATCAGAGATAACTGGCCTCTGTGCACTGAGCTTGGCAGTTCTCAGCCAAGCAGTCCAGGTCACGAAAGCCACTGTTTTATGTCCCCCACCTTCAGGGAGCCCAGGGCTTCCTGGGAGGCACAGGAGCCCCATTTGGGCTTCGGGACTGCCCAGCTCAGCTGTGCATTTTGCACTGAGGAGATTTCAGGTTACATGTGAGCCCTGGGCTCCTGGGCAGAGGCAGAAAAGCACCAGCCCAGCTGGGTTTCACAAGGGCTGGCAGCCTGAAAGGCATGCCTGCTGCTGCAGTGGCGGCTGGCTCCAGCTCAGCCGTCGGCACCGGCACGGGCACCCACATGCCAGCCCAGCAGTGGCCGCTCTTTTGGCAACTTGCTTTGCTTTGTCGTTATCTCATGTGAATTCCCCCCAAAATGCAAAGTGGTGAGGGTGTGGGTGTGGGGATCAGCTTTGCTGTGCTTGCCTCCTGTGGCCCCATTGCACTTCTCACCCCAACCTCAGTTTTCTTGTGCTTTTGTCCACGTTTTCTGGTATCTGTTTTTATCCTCCTCCCTTGCAAACGTGAATGCTCTGGGAAGGGCGAGGACAGAAGGGCCGTGGTGCAGTGGATAGTGCTGGACTGCCATCCAGTGCCGGATAAACACACTGGGAAAAATAACAAAAAAGACTTCAGAGGCTGTTTCCTGCTGGGTGAACCGCAGGGCTTCGGTCACAGCTGTGCTAAATGAACTTGATTAGAAAGGAGCAGGGGATTTTCAGTGGTGCCCGGTCAATGTGCCAGCGTTTTTAAAGGCCCTGAAAGAGGTATTGATCTTCCTTGGAAGCGCAAAGTACCGCTGCAGAGGCAGTGGCTGTTGCTGATCGCAGCCAACGTGATGCTTTTGGAGCTGGGAGCAGAACTGCTCTGCCCAGGAGGGCGAGATCACTCTCCCTGGGGGAAGTTGGGTGCTGCTCACCTTGATGGAAACAGGACCGCCTTTTCACCGCTATCCCCCTTTTCTCCCTGTCAGGGACGGCGCAGACTCCGACCAGCGGAAGAGGGAGGAGGATTTCTACTACACTGAAGTGCAGGTGAAGGAAGAGCCGGCACCAGAGGTGGCCATCACCGCCGCCAGCCCCACATCTGTGTCCGCTCCCATCATCATCCAGCAAGCCCTGGCAAAGCCGGAGGCGTTGCTGGTGGAGCAGCAGGCGCTGGAGCCTGCCCTGGCCAGCAGTGCCCTGAGCCAGTCTGCCCCCAGCTCCTTCTGGCACATCCAGGCTGATCACGCCTACCAGGTGAGCTGGTGGCATCTCCCAGGGATGGGTCACCTTCCGAAATCTCGCCGAAGGTCATGATCTGGTTTGCTTCGCAAGTCGTCGCTGCAGCAGGGACGTTTTGTTGTCACCCCTGCAGCACAGAGGGGCTTTGGTGCTGGTGTAGCCCTTCAGCACTTGAGCCACCGGCTTCGTTAACACCTGAGTAAGGGGCTCGTGTGCTTCTGCCACAGTCATTCCTGGGCCGGCGGGGAGCTGACAGCCTCTGCTCCCCTGCAATTACCGGGTGCTGGTATGCAACACACCCTTCTGTTGGTAGATAACGTGGGGCTGGAATGCAGCCGCGCCGGATCCTGCACGACTCCGCTTGCACGCTCACCAGGGCACAGGCTTTTGAGGCACAGGAAACCTGGGGACCTGGAGCGGTGGCCCTGTGGGCACTCTGGGCCAGTAGCCCTTGTCCCAGGGGGCCGCTTGAGAGCTGAGTGCTATTCTGGAGCTGCAAGCTGGTGCAGGGGCAGGATATATAGATCCATAAGCTGCATGCATATCCGTTCCCATCCCAGGGAATGGATGCGACATCATCTAAAAGCAGAAAGCCTACATAAATAGGCACAAAAATATATAGATATAGACCAGGATGGTGCATGTGGCTTGGCATTGCAACCTAAAGCAATTGCAGGAGTGAAGAAGCTGCTGTGCCCCGGCGAAGGGTGACACGGCGCATTTATCGTGCCCCATGTGAGCGGGATCCAGTGCTGGAGGAGTGGTTGCACAGGGATTTCCATCCCACCCCCAGTGCTCCCAGTTTGTGGGTACTCCAGGCTGGTCTTTGCAGGGAGCTGAATGCCTGTGGGGCAGCACACGTGGGAACAGAGGGCCCCCAGGGCTAACGCCGACCCCTCTTTTCCCCCACAGGCATTGCCATCAATCCAAATTCCAGTGTCCCCCCACATCTTCACCAGCATCAGCTGGGCCACTGCCACCTCAACTCTCCCGTCCCTGTCACCGGTGAGTCCTGCATTCGTTTCCCCTTCATCCTTTTGGTGTGCAGGTTGGGCTGGGAGCTAAGGGGACCTCGGCTCTGCATTCTCACTCCCCACTTTAAACGTTGTGGGCTGGGGGCACCTGTGTGTCCCACCCCTGCGTCTCAGCACCCCGGAGACCCCACAGGACAGGGACTGCATCATCCCGCATGCCCTTTGACACCCGATTTCCTGCAGGTGCGGAGCCGGTCGCTCAGCTTCAGCGAACCCCAGCCACCAACGCCAATGCTCAAGTCCCACCTGATCGTCGCCTCGCCACCCAGGGTGTCCATCGGCACCAGGTGAGGGTCCTGCTGGCCAGAGGGGAGCTGAGGTGGAGCCCGTCAGAAAAAGGGGTGCCCTCCTGCATCTCTGCTGCGATGCAGCACGATGCTCGGCTGTGGTTACAGAGCCGTACCCTTAAATATGTGACCAGAGTTCGGCAACAAGT